CGTGTCAACTTGCACCACAACCGCTAGCAACCGCCGGTGCGTCCGGCGCCAGCAGTGCAAGGTTGGACGCCTCTGAAGCCACTGGCTGTAGAAAGGGGGAAGACACTGAACATATCGGCGACGTTGGCTGCGCCTATGCAGATGGCTTCATTCAGTGAGGTGTTCAGTGCTTGATTCAAGCCGGACATGCATGCGATACACCGGGGAACGGCACGTCGCTGTTTATGCCGCCCCCATCTGGCCAAGGCAACAAACTGTGAGTCCAAGCATGACTGCTTGAGTATAAAATGCCTCCTCCTCGTTGCGAAGACCTCAGGCTCTTCTCTTCACAGAAAGCGCTCCAGTCATTTGCTACTCTTCCCTTCACTCTTTCCTTGACCGAACCTCTCTCCTTCGTCGTCGCCATGTTCTTCACCAAGGCTGTTATCCCCTTCGCCTTCGCCGTCTCCGCTTTGGCTCTGTCTGTCCCCCGTGCGGACAACGACATTGATGCCCTCACTGAGCGTGCTTCCCAGCCGTGGCTTAGCGGCACCCAATCGGGCTCCGGTAAGATGGTCCTCTGACTGACATGAACTTGTTCACTGGCTAAACCAATTGTAGGGACCTGGTATCAGCCCGGCTCGGGTGCTTGCGGGTTCGAGAACAGCGCGTCGGACCTCATTGTCGCAGTCTCTACTGAGATCTATGACAACTACCCGTAAGGATGTCCTGTTGACCCCGTGATGCTGTGGTGCTGACTGTTCTCTACGATAGTGGCTACACTGGCGGGAACCCCAACAACGACCCCGTCTGCAAGAAGGGCATTACCGTGAACTGTGCGTTCGCTTCTACAGGTTTCCCCGTATAATGCCCACTGACTGTGAAAAATTGTGTAGACGAAGGCCACTCCGTCAGCGTCACCGTCGTTGACCGTTGCGTCGGTTGCGCGACCACCGACCTGGACCTGAGCCCGGCGGCATTCGAGCGACTCGCCCCCTTGTCCGCAGGCCGTATCCCTATCACTTGGAACTGGAACTAAAGACACGGATGCCCTCGTGGCGCCTCGGCGGTTCAACCCGTTCAATGCACAGTCCACACATTCCATAGGTCTTTATAATCTGATCTAGATCCTCCGTACATAGCCGCCTACAGTGCGTGTTTGGTCGAGGAGAATGTATTCGATGATAAGGTTCAAGTTATCTGTTGTACATCGTCGGTGCTTGGGCGCGGAGGATTCGTTATCTAAGAGCCATAACATGTTGACTGTACGTTAAGTATGCTATGGAATGCAGTGTCGAATGTCAATCTGTTTGGAAAGTTGTTCTTTAAATTTCCTGTTGCATCGCTGGAGGTTTATACTAGTGCATTTTAACGGGCCGGGGGGTTAGATTGATCCTCAAAATCTCCCTCGGAAGATGAGCCTGAGGCCGACAACCAAACGCACAGTAACTGGAAAGGCCCAGTGATCGTACGCTAGATTGTTGAATCCCGCAAGTTGCTCAAACTGCCGTACTAATAGTATTCGCATCGGAGTCCGTTGTCGTGACTCACTGACTTAGACTTACATAAGCCCATGCCAGTGACATCTCAAGCGCTCATTCACTGCGCGATCGAGTTGTGGCCCTTGCAGTTGCTCTCCTCCTGCCTTGTAATCACTAGGTTCAGTTTAGCATTGCGACACATCGCCGGGACTTCTCGCTGGGTACTCATCTCATTCATTCATTACTTTCATTACGGAACAAGAGGCCGACTTTGTTGTCACTGGGATCCCACCGTGACGCCATCCTGTCGACCCTTGGAGACGTCGAACATGCTCTCGTACATTGAAGGAAATACACCAGTAAGTGCTGGCTTTATCCGTTGATGGCTCACGCACAATTTGTACAGACTCGGCCCAAGCCACGTCACGAATTCCTGGCGGTAGGGCTGACGTGCCAGTGCGCAATATAATGCAGAGGCAAGGACGGCGTAAGTCTCATGCGATGATTCTGCTCTCCGCTCCACGTGCTTTCCCCATCGATGCCGCGGAGACGAGAGAATCACGATAGACAGAACGACCTCGATGCCTGTGTTCGTGCTGCACTGCCACGGCCAGTTCATCGACCAAGGTCAGTGCGCGGATCCGACATCACATCGGAGGTTGCTGCTTAGCCTGGGCACTGGGGACCCTGCTGCTCATGGTCTACATCCGCCTTTCGTCCGTTCGTATACACAACATGCTCCCGGAGCATCTATCAGGCGCAACAACTGGGAGAGAACCGTGGAAGCAGAAGGACATACATTGGTTGAACATCTCTCACATCTCTCAGGCCGGCCATTAGATTCCGGGCCTGTCAGCCCTCTCCACGTACAACACGCAGAGTTGTCCCCAACCTGATAGGTTTGCAGCTGGACTTGAGGGGACAGTGATGTATATGAGAGACTCGCTGATGCATGAGCTTCTCCCAGTATCAGGCACATTCAACCTACTTGTGCCCGTACTATCATGCTGCTCACTAACACCGTGCTGGTATTTGACCTCGCAGCATATACGTCAGCAGTGGGTATTCTCCATGAAGACAACTCCAAAGCTCTAGAGACAGGGCGATCTGTCGCCGAGACGAATGACTGGCCGAGCGGTACTCAGACAGGCGATGGTGAGTACACACGTACCGACTCAAATGGCTGCATCGAGGACGGTCGTAACTGCCTACAGTTAGTTTCACTGATTTTGGTCTCGATGCATGCGGCATCACGAACACCGATGCCGACTACGTCGTGGCGATCTCTTACGAAATTTTTGCTAACTACCCGTGAGCGTTGTCTAGTCGTCTCTTCCATCGATAGATCCTCACGTAGTTGTTGCCACAGTGGTTATAACGGTGACCCGGAGAGTAACCCCGTGTGCTATCAGCAGCTAGCTATCTCGTGTACGTCCTCGCCACTCCTTCACATTCAGCCAGCGCCCATGGTGCCACGTTTGCAGATGGAGGAAAATCCGTTACTGTTACGGTCACCGACCGCTGTGCTGCCTGCCCATACCCCGACCTCGCCGTTACTCCGGCCGCGTTCGAACAGTTGGCAGACCTTTCTGCGGGCCTGCTTCAGGATGCCACTTGGCAATGGGTGTAGACATGAAGTGTCCATCCGTTTACCTTCCGAACGTTGTGGTAATTGCGTTGTCGTAGCACGGTCACTCCGCGTTGTTCTCATAACTCAGCCATGTGAGGCTAGAAACCGAGCTCGACTAGTAGAGAACCGCACACGGCTTCTGTCTTGCAAGACGTTCAACCGTTGCAGAGGACTGGGCCCCGGAACGCGTATTACCAGGGCCACCAGAAACTCGAACCAGCTTCGAGAGTGACCCCAGGTAGGAACGACTATGTTCCTGTTCTAATTCGAGGAGGAGTCTCCGCCCGGCCCAGAGATCCGCGGCGGTCCGGTCAAGCCTGTCACAATACAGCTTGCGATGCTCACGATGCGTTCGATGCAGTCAGTACATTGGTATGGCTCTCTCACCATGCTTCTTACTGGGTATCCTGCGTGGGAGGCTGCCGCACTCGCGTTCCGCACTGCGTCCAGGCAGCGTATATATTGCAAGCACGACAATCGTGGTGCGCCCGATCGTGCTCCCCCCGCCTTTTCGCCACTGACCAAGATGGCACAGCCCTCACTCCTGCTCAGCGTCCTTGCTCTCGCATTCGCCATCGGCGCTTGCTTTGGCTCGTCTCTCGAATACGATCGAGCGGCATGTCAGTTTGCGTCGAACGATCCCCTTGATAGCTGCCCTGCTGGGACGGTCTTAGTGGGTCCCTCATCGAACTTCACAACCATCCAAGCCGCAATTCGCAGTCTCCCCAACGACACGACCCCACAAACGATTCTCGTCGCATCAGGCAACTACACCGAGCAAGTCAATGTAACGCGGCTTGGCCCCGTGACACTGCTTGGGCAGACGATCGCGCCCAACGACCGTACGCAGAACACCGTCCGGGTATATTGGGCAGCGGTCGCTGGATCGAGTGACAATGCGCGCACGAGCACGCTGACCGCCGGCCCAGCGGGAGCCCCTTACGCAAGCACGGACTTCCGTGTGTACAACATGGACTTCATCAATGACTATGCACCATACTCGGACACGCCCAGTCTCGCGCTCGACGTAAACCATGCAAATGCGAGCTTCTACTACACTGGTTTCTATAGCTACCAGGATACGGTGAGTTGCATTCGTGCCAGTCTCCGATACGACGTTGACCTCGGGGTGTCTAGATCTATGTCGGGCCGCTCGGGAACGCGTACTTCTACGACAGTGAGATCGCCGGTCAGACCGACTTTTTCTACGGATACGGCACTGCGTGGATCCAGTCCTCCCTCGTTACACTGCGATCGTGCGGCGGTGGCATCACCGCCTGGAAGGGCACGAACACATCTTTCGTCAACAAATACGGCGTATACATTCATGATTCCGCCGTGATGAAGGAGAACAACAGCTTGAGTATTGCTGGAGAATGCGCGTTGGGACGGCCATGGGTAAGTGGTACCGGATGAGTACTTTCGCAATCGAGCATCGCTTATTAAGTACGGCATCCCCCAGAATGCCCAGATACGTTCGATTTTCGCGCATTGCTACCTCGACGATAGCATCCGCCCTGCAGGCTACATCCAGTGGCAGCCCACGGATCCGCGCATTGATTACAACACCACCATGGCAGAATATCATAACTTCGGTCCCGGGTTCAATCTCACGGGGCGCATCGAAGGGAATGTGACACTGCTTATGACAGAAGAGGAGTACGAGCCGTATTCGAGCGTCGGGGAGGTTTTCCAGTATCCGCCGGATGGGGAGTTCGGAAATGTGGATTGGATTGACTTCGAACCTTGGAGCTTTCGCTAGCGATGTTTAACCATGCAGCGTAACACTGTAACTACCGCGAATGGGTTAGCCCTTTAAGACAGGACACTTAGGAACTGTCGCAACGTTGTAACTTTAAGTATGTACTAGTGCTGAAAGTACTATCGACCACGCCAATATAAAAATAGCATGCCACGTACCCGGGTCGAACGAGTGACCTTCGCATAACTTGCAACCAATAGTTGCTGTACAAGTGCGACGCGCTACCACTACGCTAACGCGGCTATGTCATGTGCTCACCCTTTAAACATATACGCAGCTAAGCCCTTGTTTGATAACCCTGCGCATAAGTGGCTCATGCGCCAAGATAATGCGGGGAAGATGACGAAACCGAGCCCCATCTCTTCAACGCCTGGGCTTCTAGATCGCACGCTTAGGACGTGTTAGAGACAAGATCTAGAGGTCTCGCCTCGTATTATTACTACCACTGGCACCAAGAACCTGCGCTGCAGTATACTAGTTTTACAGTCGTGCGTCCGCGGAGAATGAATCTCTAAGTGGCTGCCCACTGCCATGTAAATCGCGCGTCGTCGTGAGCTCAACGCTGAACTCACGCTGCCTCACTGGCAGGAACCGGTCCCGGTCAACAGAAAGGCAAGGTATCACGCAACCCTTGTCTGCCCCATTCCCAACTGATGACTTTCGGAATTATGAAACAGGAGTCAAGGTGAAGCAGAATATAGCAGCGCTACATGCGCTCTGGAATCGACTGGCCACCTGAATAGACGGTCTCGTGCCCTTCTCGATCCCCACTTAGCATCAACTTCGTTCGGCACATCACTCTATTGCACACCTCCATGATTGCATTCCCACCTAGCCATCTGTCGGCCTCCGGCAGGGTCAGCTGGCTCAATTCTGGGCAGCATCCAGGCGGTGTATAATGCCTCGGTGGGGTTATATCAGCAGATCTCCGGTTGGGTACATATAGTCTCTCTCCTCGAAGAAGCAACCCAACGTCACCTGCTCTTGTGAACGGGAAAAAGTCGCCTTATACCCACCTGCGCATTACCAGGATCTCCTTCGTCGCCGCCCTCAACCCTCTCGCAACCGTCGCACGCATCATAGCCGACATGTCGTCCTTCTCTCGTTTGTCGTCCTCAACTATGCGGCTCGCGCGTGCATCTCGCCGCCCTGTCGGTCAAGTGCGGTTCGCGCATGGCGAGGCGGAGCATGCGCACCACGGAGGCCCTGCGCCCTACGGTGTGAGTACCCTGTTTCTCCCATCTGACCCCCTCTCTCACCCACCGACCTGCCCTCTAGCACCTCCCCTTCACCTTCAGCAACAAGAAGACCTTCGCCGTGAAGTATCTTACCTTCTGCCTTACGGGCTTCTCGCTCCCGTTCATCGCCTCAGGCTACCAGTTGTGAGTCTCCCATCCTCATCACGCAATGTAAAAGGTGAGAGCACGAATCTGATGTGCAGCTTAGGTGGAAGTCGGGTGGATCGACCACTGCATGAACGCGTCATCTCATACTGTGAATGTACTCTGCGGACGCGGCACAGAGTGTAGTTGGCATCCAGTGTGTTCCAACGTGTGTATTATAGGCATCAGAGCGTATCGGCATAATTGTAAATATATACCAAACAGTGACTGAAATCGCGTCGCCGTTGTGCGTGCTCACGCCCGAGATTTGTGTACACCGAACGCCAGTCAGGAGAGAAGCTTGCACTTACACAACTGTTGTTTTGTGGTGGCGATGCCACGGATGGAGACGGCATGCCAGTGATCGTTGCGGTCAGTGAGTGTCTTGCTGGTCACTCTTGCTGCTTCGTATACTACACGGGGAGTTGTGCGTACCGGCGGAGGGTAAGCTCCTCAACGCCCTGAAGATTGGTGTAGCATGCTAACCTACTTACTAGGGGAAAACGTACATCGCGAACACTCAACACCTCTGACGAATCAATGCCACCGGCGCCATGCTAATATTAGCGCCACCCCGCCACTCCCCAGATCTCAAGCATTGGTGGTTTGATTTCAACTTTGTACCCTGACATGCGACTGCAGTACGACGAGCTTCTGCCATATTCTACCATAGAAGACGGATGGCTGTTACATGCAGCCCAGTGCCGTTGGCATTGCCCCTCAAAGTGGCTTCGGCTCAACAAAGCAACCAGCTTTGTCCCGGTGTATTGTCCGACAAATAGGGCATTGTCGTGATCGCATATATAAGGAGCTGACCATCCGATATGGCTGGCCAGAGATCACGTATTCTTTTCTCCTGGTCCTCTCCTTGCCTCCTTTCTTACGACGTTTCGTCGTATAGCCAAAACCCTCAAAACTCAAATTGTGAGCGTCATCGCCTAGGGAGCTCCCCAGATTTGCTCACGAGCGTGCAGTATTTCCATATTCAAAATGTCGTGTCCTGTCACACCTCCCCGCTGCGGGACCAATCGGCCCGCCCCATATCCCAGTCGCAGAGAGTCCATCGAGCCGCTGCTGCCCAATATGCCAGACGTCGAGATGGACATTCAAGAGTCTCCGTCTCCGATCCGCGTCGCACATGGCAGTTCTAGTCCCGGAGATACAGTACTGGAGTCGTCGGTGATCGAGTGGTGTCCAGTGGCTTCGCACGGCATAGCAGGCTTCACAACTCCCCCGCATTCCCGGCACCAGCCAGGGCCCAAGCAACCAAGCCCGGCTCACGCGCGAACATCGGAAGTCTCCCCATGGCTCAAATACGAGCCCTACATGCCGCCACCGCCACCGCCGCTCCCACCGACCCCCAACCCGGCACCGCGGAGAAGAGCGCGGCCAGAAGGCGGGCTGCTACCGGGCGGACTTGGGGCGGTTGGGATGCGATTCCAGGAAGGGCTCGACGCGTGCACGTCGACGCTGAGGCGTGTGGCATCGACATCGATACTCGCCAGACTCCCCCCGTCGCCGCCATCACTGCAAGCGCGAAGGAAGTACCAGACGGTGCCGATGATGCGTCGTAAGGCCTACAAGGCGCAGAAAATTGCGATACCCTCGATCCTTCGCTCACGGCGCCGCAAGCACGGCTCGACGTCTCCAAAGAAGAATCTTTACAGGCCGGAGATGCAGGCGCTTTCAGTGAAGAAGCTCCTGGATCCCCCGTTTCGACTTCGCAACTGAGCCGGACGGGGTTTGGAGTACGGTGTCATCAACGTGGACGCGTCGTTGTCGTGGAGGTTATCGCGAAGTCGAACACTGGTGCCACTCACCATACATTCAAGTTCTAATTCCTCAGTCTCCTGTACCGTGACATTGAATCCAGTCCTTTGTATCCGCCGACACGATCCTTACGTTACTGTACGTTCACGAGTGTAGATAGTTATCTTCTGTTCACGATCTAGTAACGTCTAGTGTTTTGTCAGCCTCTCGAAGCATGTATGTAGTAGTATTGCACACCTCTGAAATAAATGTGAAGTTTGATGATATCTTATTGAGCTAGTACAGCACGCCTAGGCTAGGCTTCAAGCGATGGGTTTGGTTGTCCGTAGACCTGGCTTGGACCTGGCGCAGCGCCACTCTGAAAGGCGCTTACGCGGACTGTCACTGCCACGTGCGGTGCGCAACGGTCACAGTCCTTGAGTATGCGAGTGGACTTCCTTGACCTCGAACCACTCGCATCTGGGCTGAATTTTGCTATGTCTACATCTCCAAGTCCATCATCAACTTCCGAAAACATCATCAAAGCATCACATAGCACCAAGCGGCGTGTCATTACGGAAGTCATCTCAGCTTCGTATACGCCATTCGACCATCGGTCCGCTGTCGTGGAACCGTTTGGTAACGAGTCCAAGAGAGACGTAGAATTCCTCGAAAGTGCGTATATGCGGAGTTGAAGCACACCGCTGCACCTGTAGTGCTTATGTGCTCCAGAGCTTAACGTCATGCTACTCGAGCTCATGCTCGAATTTCATGCGTGGTCGACGGCTCGCCCCGCGCAAGAAAGCGACAGCACCGCGGACGCGCTGGAGAAGGAAGTCAAGATTGTTATGGAGCTAGAGAAAGAACAAGGCACGTCGTCTCTCATCGGTAGGCTGGTATTCCCTACCTATTGTCGTGCTCCTACCTTCGGCCCTGTTCTATCATGGCGACTATATGCTCATGTCTTGCGCTACGTGAAGAGAAAACTCGACAGCGGCTCAACGACTTTGTCACCCGTATCAAGCTTGCCCTTGCTGCTCTTACCGACCTCTCTGGATGAACTATGTCTCGGACGCTGTCTCAAGGACGCATCTCTCGCCCTCCAAATCGATGTGGTTTCCCCATGTGTAGTCCGCATCCTAGTCTCGTATGCAAATATACAAAGCTGCCTCGCTGTACCAGCGCTTATCTTGACGGCCTTCACGGATGAGCGTACTATATGCGCCTTCTCAATGGCTATAGCAGTGGACTGCGTGGTACTGCCGTCAGGGGATCCGAAAAGCATACTGTATGCACTCACATAGATTGTTGGAAGGTGAAGATGTCGTCAGGGTCGTACTTGGCCTTGATCTTGCGGAGACGACGCATGCTGAGATCGGTCATCTGGCGGTAAGCTAAGCTCTACCATGTCCTCAAACTGACTGACTTAGATCCATAGTAGAGCCTTTTCCATTCCTCCGGACCCAGGCGCGGGTCGATGTAATTAGGATATGCGCTGTGCATGAATCAGCGCTTGCAAGAAATCGCAGGCGATCCTTCGCTCCGCACATACCCGTGGTGCCACGTCTCAGGCACATTTTGCGTGATAGAGCGAACAAGGCCATCCACATAGCTAATTCCCTCATCTGGGAAAGGTGGCTCTGCATCGGCGCTTGATGCACAGAACTATGACGATGAAGCAACAGTAGGTGAAATGCATTTTCTGATATTTGTTAACCTCAAACTGATCCTGCACACCTGGATGATCCACAGTGCATTCCTATTCACGTACGCAGTTTGGTGCGAGCGGATCGCGTCAATCTGCGATGACTGACCGCCGTATAGCTCGAGCTGAACAAACCAAGTCTGTGCACGTTACTCGTCAACCAATTGACGGTAAGTGCCTCGGTACTTCGCACCGTCGTGGTGTTCCATCCCTCAATAGACATCCAGCTTGCAAGGGCGGCTATGGCGTCTCGCGACATCGGGACGTCAGACGGGGTCGTGAGGCTCTTTGTGTATCTTGTGTTGTGATTATTTGTGATCCTCGCCTCCGTGCTCGCGACTTGCCCTGTGCTGTCCGGGCCGGCAAGGAGCGCCAAATGCTCGGGCCACGTCGTGACTTCAACAAG